CCTAGGCAGTAATTTCTTGTTGATACCACAATACAATAGTTATTTGGGAGGAATACATATAATTTTTCCTGCGACCCAGCAAGAAAAACGTAGAAGTAAAGTCTGTTCGATTTAATAAACAATTGTCAGTGTCAAAATTAGAAAGAATTTTCATTGTATGGCTTTAATTGAAGAAATTTATGAACTAGGTGTATTGCTCACCCCAAATCCGGGTACATAATGTAGATCTAATTTCTCAATTTTCAAGACGTAAGCTTAAATACACCATAAAAAAGTATAAGATACTAGAATCATTGTCTTGATAGAATTTTTTTTTGATCGCCTAGGCATTTTTTTAGTTCATCTGATTCTCGTTGGTGCAACCAGTTTTAAGCTTAAAGTGTTTAACCTCCTTTGGGTATCTTGTTTTGTTGTACTCTTCCTTCCCAGCTTTTATTAATTGCGTTATTGTTCGTTAATGAATTAATAATAATGTGGTTTTTCCTTAGCAATTCCTGTAACTAAAACAAACTCAGAATCACTGAGCTTACAATGCATTTTTTACAAAATGCTTAAGCCGGATATTAAGAAGGCGGTAGATATTATTAATGTTGAAAAAGAGTCTACATCGCTATTAGAAAGCATTTATAAGTAGATGGGTTTGCCTATATGAAACTCTTTGTGGTTTGAAAACCGTTTTGTTTTGTCGTTTACGTTGTCACCCCATACAATGATTTTGTGTATCCTTTTAAAGTTAATCCGCTTTAGAGATACCGTAGAAGATTAATGTGAAAATCATCCTTCTTAAGTTTTTAGTTATGGATGGGAGGCTTTGTGTTTAATTTAGGTGAATAAATGGCACGTTTGACGTTGGCTGTTGACTGAGAACCATTGCATAAATCTCTCTATTGAGGCTGTATACGGAAGCCGTAAGTTAGGTGAGGTTACAAACGACTCTGTTGAAAATTTAACGTCGTCGCCTAATCAGGACAATAGCGTCTGACGGTTATGTAATTCCGCGAATTTCCGTGTTGATAAAGCGTCGTGCGTCTCATCTATATCTGCGTTTTCGCGTTAGCGCCGGGATAGAGTGTGTTGTGCCTCCGGACACGTGGATCCGGACGGAGCTTGCGCGAGTCGAGCGCGGACCAGCAACCGGACTAAAATCAGATTCCGCGTGCCCTCCGGAGCGATAGCTAGTGCATAGGTGATGCTCTCGGTCAGTCGTTGTCATGCCTTCCGCGCTACTCGTGTTGGTGGTGCTGGTCTTCTTTCCACTAGTGCACGGTAAGTGGCATGCCGCTCCTACCGAAAAGCATGAACTTCGGCCAATTACCGCAATTACCCTCACTAAATCACTCCGGCTAGAAGCAGATTAGTCGTTTGCGCGACCGCAACGTTGCTTTATGTCTACTTGTTGGAAAGTTGGGGCCGTCTTGCAAGTTGGAGCGACCGCGAGGAACATATTTCACGCAGCCACCGGGCGGAACCTGAGCGCTGAACCGAGCCGTGTAGAAAACTTCACGGGAACACGGAAAGCAGCCGTGATTCTCCTGGAACCTGGCACCAAGCGCCCCGGATCCACTGGACGAAATTTAGACAATCGACTGTCACCAAATGATCATAGATTTAGACGATTCTTCGGATGCCCGCAGTGACTGTTTATTCCCGTCTTTGGCTGGCCTCCAGCAGATGAATTGTGATCTGCTGCTTTTGGTGCGGCAATGCACCAAAGATCCATTAACCAACCGGAACGGCACTGCTAAAGTGCTTGCTTCCTTCTTTTTATCCTCACAAAATCGTATTACAAAAAGTGCTTATTGACATTCATTAACCTTCAATGATGAAACTTTCGACTCCTAAACATTTTACTATAATACAACTGACCTCTGACAATAAATTCACGAATACTAAAGCACTTTGATCAAAATTCTTTACAGTCAGTTTCTTCTATAAACAATGGAACAAAGGTACAAATTGAATATCATTCATATACTCTGGAATTATTTTGTTGTTTTCTCTTTAATCAAATATGAACATTAAACAGGTCGATAGCCAGACAAAAAACAGACACATGGTTTTTATGTGTCATACATTTCGTTTCAGTAAAAATATTATTTTTGCAGTTAAAACATTATTTTTTTTTAATATAATGATCCTCATTTTATTCAAATCTGCAAATGTTATATACATTTTAGTTCGAAAATTTATTGGTAGGTTAAGTTTTTGATAAGCCTGATACTATTAAACAAATTTTAACTTAAATTCATGAATAAATACATACATATATAATTACAGCTGATGCGTTGTGAGTTTTGACCAAACAACGTAGGTATGTTATCTGTTGTTTGCTTTATATTTTGATAAAGAACAGTAGACGGGGAAATGATTAAATGCAGTATTATTTCATCAGTAAATTAATTGAAAACCGTTGACAAGCAAAATTTTGTACCAGCTTTTAAATTTATTAAATATTGATCATGTAACTTAATTGCTGTGATCAATCAGTTTTTAATGTACCAACGCAACTGTAAATATGATTATTGTGAATAAATATTGATACTTAAATAAAACAGGTCCACTATAAAACAAACACCCGTATTGTGTCTTGGAATAACGTTGTTATTTTAAATTAGTTAAAAATGTAAGTAACTTGGCTTTTAATGTGTTACAAATACGTATCTTTGATAACTCCGTTTCTTGGTCTGTATAAATTATCTATCTGTGTGACATGAACCTGAACCATGATTAAAAACCTAATTTTAGAAACGTTGCGTCAAATTTAATGTTTATTAAGTACAGATGTATTGGAAAAACGTTCGACTTTTTACAAGCTTCATGCAAATGATGAAGCGTCCAGTTTGAGCCCTCTTGCTTTTTATTGGCCAACGTTGTTAGACTAATTGCGAGCACGAATACGCGTATCCGAAAAATGTTTTCCAATTCCTCTTCAAGGATGCTATTTCGTTTCAATTTCAATTTGAATAATGTTTGTCGAAGTGACCAATTTATCCGACTCTCTCTAAATCTCATTACTAGTAATTTTGCGGTTTAACAGAGTTGTTTTCAACTTACAGTGGTTGCAGTAAATTAATTTGATGTGCAGCAGTTTGACAACAACAAATTGACGCCGAGATTAAAAAAGAAAATGGTTGATACCCTCTACTTACATCCACTCCACTCACTTACCTTTCGCACATTTTTCTTCTTCATAAAGCCCCGTCTGAGCTGCTTTTACCACTCCCACTCATTATGGGGTAATGATGTTAGATGAAGACATAAGGTTGGTTAGAAATGATAGATGGTTTTGCAGTTCAATATACTTCCAACTTCATAGTGGAGTGCACACACCGCTTGTAATCGCGAGTGTTTTTCTTGTACTCCGCTAACAGATGTGAATGATATTATTGTCGAAAATGTACAATTATTGTCGAAGTCGAATCTCCAGACGTGATTTATAAGATTAATGATACCGATACAGGTTCTTAAATTTAAACGCAATAACAAATTTGCACATACAGGTGCGCCAGAACTCGCACCCCAGAGAAAAATACCATGTAAGAAAAGACCAGGAACATAGAAAAAATGTTAAAAAAATTTATCTATAAAAAATTTCGAAATTATGAGAGTTTAAATTTTGCACTTTAAATCTATTTATACAGGGCGATTCAGATAAGATAATTAGCCTAACGATTTGGCGATGCAACCCAAAAAACAAATTTCATTTATGTCTTTGATCCAATTTAAATTTAAAGGATTTGCAAGTTGAATCCAGTTAATCATCTTAGGTCACTCTGACATCAACGCAGAGAACCATTATTAATACCATTCAGTTCTCGCGGAATGATAGCGAAATTAAAGAAGTCTTTGTGGTGTAAACCCAATACAAAATGTAGGAATAAAAAAATGTAAGAATAAAACATTAAAGGTAGGCAAACAGTTTTTTTTATAAATCATAAAATGCTTGTCAAAGCACTGTCACAGTAACATAAGATAACTTGGGCAAATGCAAATCGGAATTAAAATTAGACACAAGCAGTGCAAAAATCAATTATCATTCCAAAGTAGGGTTAAAATCTTCTTAGTGATTAAATTTAATTTACTTATATGAAATGTTTGCAGACCATTTGCTATTCGATTTGCTATATACTTAAGGAACAATGTGATGCGATAATTGTTGTGGGGTGTTTAATTACTTGACATTTCAACAGCTGACGTCAGGTAATAATTAACTCCCATCAGTACATTTTCGGTCAAAATAAAAATTAAAAATTTTCCTGGACGTAAATAATCTTTGATAGTTATTTATTCGACGAGTTTGAGTGTAAATGGGACGCTTTATTTCACGAGTGGATTTTTAAACCACGGGTGTCAACGAGTGGTTTATCATCCACGAGGTGGTTTAAATAAATCGATTTACACGAAGACGAGTTGAATACAACATTTGATTCTTCGAATTAGACTCAACAAGACTTAAAATTGCTTTAAATCTGTTAAAAATAATCTGACGTTTCGTATTGAGAACTGCCAAACAGTTGTCAATACTTCCTTACACAGGAGAGAAACCGTAAATTTTGACACTGGCGAAGAATAAATACGTATAAAGAATATAAACAGTAGATAAAAATTTTCCTTATCCACTAGACGATAAAAGACTTGTTTACCTACTCACATTAGTTGATTAAAGTAATCTATAACATTCAGTACAAAATAAAGTTTTTAATGCCGAGAGAACATACCGCACTCAGTCATTTGTCTATTAATTATTCAAAAATAAACACTTTTTTTGGCGAGATTCTAATCAGCGCTATCTTGTGTTGAAAATAGTAAACGCATAGATCCGTCACACGGTCTTCTAGATTTACAAAGAGACTCTATCGCTATCCGGTCCGCCAAATTTGTAAAATGTCTGTTTTCAATGTTCGACATAAACCGACTCTTGACTTTTTGTTCAACAAATTGGTAAAGCATAGCAACTGAAGCACGCTGCTGTGGTTAAATAAGCCAAGTAGCCAAGTTATAAATACACAAATAAATCACATAAAAATAATGGTTGTCCATGCATTGTAAATTAAAAATAAAGTAATGTCAAATAGTACCTAAAATTAAGCAATCGTATAAGAACTGTACTGTGGTACTCCTAGAAAAAATAAAAAAGGCCTTGAATTAAAAATATGGCGACCCGGATAGAGACAGAGTCTCTTTGTTAATCTAGGAGTCTTGACAAATCAAAATATACAAGGTGATTCACGAGGAATAATGAGCCTGACCAAATTCAAATTCTTTATGCAACCACCATTACTTTTCGCAAGTTATTTTGCGACAACTGTAATGTTGGTTGCATCGAGAATTTAGTCAGAGTCATTATTCCTCGTGAATCACCCTGCATAATATAACGGTCTTCGATCAAAAAGTTTTGTTCATCAATTATGCGTTAGGTATTTTAGCGTTCAGTTTTATTAAAAATTATTATACAGGGCGATTCAGATAAGATAATGGGCCTGACGATCTGGCGATGCAACCCAAAAAACAATTTTTATTTACGTTTTGATCTAATTTAAATTACGATTTGCATTTGCAATCCAAGTTATCTTATGTTGCTCTGATAGTGCTTTGACAAGCAATTTATGATTTATAAAAAAACTGTTTGCCTACCTTTAATGTTTCATTGTTTCATACATTTTTTATTGGGTTTACACCGCAAAGACTTCTCTAATTTCTCTATCATTCCGCGAGAACAGAATGACACTAATAATCGTTCTCTGCACTGATGTCAGAGTGACACAAGATGATAACTTGGATTCAACTTGCAAATCCTAATTGAAATTGGATCAAAGGCGTAAATGAAAATTGTATTTTGGGTTGCATCGCCAGATCGTCAGGCTCATTATCTTATCTGAATCGCCCTGTATACTGCACGTATAATGTAAATAACTATTTATTTGTAGTATTATTAAACGAGAGCTTTAATCTAGAACAATAATTATTGTTTGGAAGTTTTCAACTTTTAACACGAATTATTTTTGTATTATGTAGGTAATATGTCCTTTTTAAATTTTTCTGACTTCTCAAAACATAATGGAAATAATTCCGAGCACGAAATTCTATTTTTCAAAAGTAAATTTCAATACAAATTTTATTCAAACTAAAACTATCCGGTGACAAATGATAGTAGTTGAGCTTGGTAAAACTATATTTTTTAACAATGATAATGTTATTTTAAATGTATGGAGGAAGTAAGTAAACATTGTTTGTTCATTTATCATCGGCGAGTCGTTTCAATACAC